TGAAAGATATTTTCAATACAAGCAGCCAAATTTGATTGGCCTCATTTTCTCAAAAGAATAGGTACACATTGTTTTCATTTTAAAGTATGTACACTTCTTTAGCTTTTGGATAACTATTATATTATTAATGGACATTAATGGGTACAACTACCTAATTTTATTACTGGTTCATAACTTCATGGTACTATGATTACACAACTCACGTTAGGGCATTCATGTTTGGAAATCGTCTTGTAGTCTGTACAGATTAAACAATCTTGATTTTTATGGTCAAAAAATAATTTTTAAGTATTCCCACTTTTTTCGACAGTCCGATGGCTAAAAACTGTGTCAAATTAACAGTTGAATTGCCGACGCTGAGTCACTTCTAAATGCAAGTGAAGATAAAATGCATGACGCTTGGCGAAAATAAGATGCACCGAATACGGCGGAGAATCAAGTGATTCCGCCGAAGATATTATGTGCATAAAAAAATATTTGAAATCATCGGTGATTGATAATTATTATTGTTAAAAAATTTCCCTTAATAATACACGATTGTGCATTCATCATATGTTCATATAGTAATTACGAATTCCAATCTAAAAAAATCGTCGCGACTGCGCAATAATCATGTGAAACCATGTATTAAATTTCATAATTATTGGTTACGGATTGAGGTAATAAAACGTGGCTAAATGGAGAACAGGTATAGGGCATGTTCAGGGCCGGGCTGGCCCACGCTGTAACCCACGCTAACGCCCACGAGCTTTTGTCCGACCGGTGTATTTAACCCTTACCTGCTAAAAATCGTGATGAAATGAGTGCGTATTGGTGAAGTGCTACATAACGGTAATAAATCAGCGTTGTTTATCGTGTTTCAAAAAGCTGCAACTTTCCAAATCCACTTCTATTTATGGGTATTCAACTCTTATACCTGCTAAAAATCATGATAAAATGAGTATGATTTTGTGATATGCCAAATACATATCGGTAATAAATCGGACGCTACGTCCCTTGGACTCCGCGGAAGACTATTTGCCCGGGTATTCAAGGGATCATTTGTTCGCCAATTGAGCGTATGCTGATCATTCATCTGATTAGTTTTGCCCCTGAAGTTAATGACGTAAATCAAACATGTGAGCTGCCTGTGCGCGCTTGTTACAATTTTCACCGTTTCACGGACCGATAGGAATGTTTGAATCTCTGAGAAAAAATATCCAGTCGGTTCAAGATGGCATTACTGCAGGGTAAGGATACCTACCTAGTTACTTGACATAATGAAAAGGTTTTTATTCAAATTATTGTCCTAATGGTTGATTCCTAACCTAACTCTGCAGCTGTGCTGAGGCCTTATGCCTCAGCACATAAGCCTATGCGTTATGCCTTAGCACAGCAGCTAAGCTAGCTAAGTAGATTCAGATTGCACTGTTTGATAGATTTTTATTTTGGTCAAATATGGCCTCTCCCTCTGATCATGACATATTAGGTACATCATTTACATGATGTAAGCTTTTTATGTAATTTTCTTCAAAAGCTCAAAATTAGTCCTATTTAGGCTAATATCTCTTATATATATATATATAACTTGGCTAGCATAATAAGCTGGGCTAATTGAAACTTTCATGTAGATGATGTACCTTAGTAGACTAGTAGTTAGTAACTTACTACCTACCTTAGTTACCTTCCTTGATTGATCCCAATTTCCAAACAAGAAAATTAGGCAAAGCCAATCTTCCCAAAGTGGAATAGGTATTGGAGCATACCTAGGTCATCTCACATCGGTTATCGGTACCTATTACTTTAGATTAAGACTTAAGTGCATCCGAAAAGAAGGGTGTGTTTTTTTTTTAATTATATGCCTTTTGGGGTGTAGGAATCTGAATTCTGAAATCTGTTTTTGGCGGTACTGATTTTTTCCAATTTTTTATATATTTTATATAGAAAACAACAATGGGGGACCCATGGGGAACTGGGGGTTCTAACTTCTAGGGATAGGGAGACACGCCCGAGGCTCTAATTTGTCAAAAAAATTGGCAAAATTGGCAAAAAATTGGAAAAATTTTGAAAATTTTTTTGACTGGAAATGATCTATATTGATCTGGGAATGACTGTAAACCTATTTAAAACCCAAAAATTGTGCTAGGTTAGGTTAGGTTTTCGTTTTCTATAGAAAATATTCATTGACACCTAAAGGACATTCATTGTCATTTTCTATAGAAAATATATAAAAATCTAAAAAAATTGGTACTGCCAAAAACAGATTTCAGATTCTTAATCTACACCCCATAGTGGCAAAGCAGAGAGTTTTTTAGACTCTTCCTCAAGTTCATTTTTGAGTCCTATAAGTAGACCAGTAAAGTATCTTGGATACCATAATTATCATACATAAGAAATCTGTTTAATCTTGAGTAAATGAGGAAATTAAAAATGAACTGATTTTAAAAAAGCACTGGTTTGCCACTATGCTACACCCCAAAAAACATATAATTAAAAAAAACACCCTTTTTTGGATGTACTTAATCTAAAGTAATAACTTCACATCTGTATGTGAATGAGAGAAAAGGGCTGTGGTGGTGCAGTGGTGAGCAACTCTGTCTCTCGCACCTAGCACCCGGGTTCGAGTCCCACTGAGGACAAGTTCTACCGGGAACTCAGCAGGAAGCTCAGCTCATGGTCAGGATTGGAATTTTCCTATTTGTTTCTGAAATCTTGCGGCTCCAATGTGACAAATTTTTAATACATTTGGAATCTCGCAGCCCGATTATGCACTTTTGTTAACAATTAGATAGGAGGTAATACAACTGGCAGAAATCTCGTGGTTCCAGAAATGGCGGGAAGGCTCTAGTTGTGGTCCTAATGGTAGAAGTTTTCCATTCTTGCTCATGGTCAACTCAGCCATTCATCCACCTCTGATTGATAAATGAGTACCTGGCTTGTCCAGGGTGTTGTGTAATGCAATCAAATGGTTCTGGTGGGTCAGCGAGCCAGTGATGGTTGTACAGGGTGCGGCGTGGGAACTTACTCTTTTAAAAAAATCACAAAGTAAAAAGTATTAAAGATAGCGTTTTAATTCTTTCTTTTTTACAAATGGTACAATTTTCCCCCCGTGATTTTTAGGAAGTGTTTCTGTAATACAAATAATGTCTATACTCTCTTTTGCGATCACAGTTAACAGTTCACTTTTTTGTTCAAAACGGAATCCGAGTTCGTGTAAAAACATTTTAAAACTTTTTGTGCACTTTCACTTTGATGTATGCGGTTACTCCCTACATTATTTACAGGCCTTAATCTACGGACATCATTCCGTATGATGCGGTTACTCCCTACATTATTTACAGGCCTTAATCTACGAACATCATTCCTACTAATTACTTGTCCTCCATCTCCTCTGACTGTCCTTGAGCAGCTGGTGTTGTCTTGGCAGCTTGGAAGTGATTGCATAAAAAATATTTAAAATCATCAGTGATTAATAATTATTATTTTTAGAAAATTTTCCCCTAATAATACATGATTGTGCATTCAGCAATAGTTTATTTAGTAATTATGAATTCCGATCTCAATTTTATACGAGCAGCTGCGTTATTCACCGTGTTTCAAAAAAGAAATTCACCGAATCAACACTTCAGCGAACTCGCCTGCGAGCTCGAATGCAAAACCTAACTTCATTTTCAACTCTGGCACTCATAACACCTTCAATTATGAACGGATTTTATTCACATTTGAAATCTAAGTAGATAATATCAGTAATTTGCGGACGGAATTTTTTCAGATTTTTACATCAATAACTTTTTTGTTAATACGGAAAACCTGACTTCATTTTAAACTCTGGCACTCATAAGTCCTTCAATTATGAACGGATTTTATTCAAATTTGAAATATAAGTAGATAGCTGATGTGTCGATTCGGTAAGAAATTCCATGTACGATGCGTATTTTTGCCCGTATTACCATATAAATCGAGAACGCGGGCAAAATGGCGAAAATTCACACGGGCTCGACATCACCTTTAAGTGGTCAGCAATCTATATACAAACTTTCATTGAAATCGGTCCAGTTGTTTGGATGATATTCCATCGGTGAGACCGGCAGTGAGACAGGCCGCGTTTTTGTCCAGGAGGTGTTTCAAAAAGATGTAACCACCCATGTCCACTTTTAGTTATATAGGTATTTAACCCTTAAATCTGTTAAAACCGTGATGAAATAAGTGCGTGTTGGTGAAGTGCTAAATATCGGTATTGATCTCGGCGCTGAAGTGTAGACCTGTCATTGGGGAGGCTGTTCCACATGTCGGTGATTCGAAGCGATAAGAAATTTTGTCGCTTGGATAATTTGAGTTGCACCGCAGTTTTTTAGTTCATAGCCGTGGCCCCTGGTGTTGGTTCATGTTTCAAATTCTAGTAATCGTTCGGGAACCTTGTATAAACCATGAGTATACTTGTATACTTCAATGAGGACCCCACGCAGACGTCGATAACTGAGGCTTGGAAGCTTCATAATCTTCAATCTTTCTTCATAGGACTTGCCCTTTAAGCCTGTAATTATCCTTGTTGTGCGTCTTTCAACGTTCTCTATTAAATTTCTGTCCTTTCTCAAATCTCGGTGACCACACAACGTTTCTAAACTCTAGATTCGGGCCCACGACAGCAACAAACAACTGCTTCATCGCTTCTGCATCTAGGGACTCGTATGAGCGTCTGATTAGTCCAAGAAGCTTATTGGATGTGTTAGCTTGCGTTTCAACTTGCTTAGAAAATTTCAGCTCCTTGTCGACATAAACTCCGAGATCTTCTTCCACATTAGGCTTTTCAATCATTACTCTCTCGTTGCAACCATGTCAGCGTGAATCAGCGTTGTTTAACGTGTTTCAAAAAGATGCAACTTTGCAAATCCACTTCTATTTATGGGTTTTCAACTCTTTTACCTTCTAAAATCATGATAAAAGAAGCGTGATTTTGTGATATTCTAAATATCGGTAATAAATCGGACGCTACGTCCCTTGGACTCCGCGGAAGACTATTCGCCCGGGTATTCAAGGGATCATTTGTTCGCCAATTGAGCATATGCTGATCATTTATCTGATTAGTTTTGCCCGTGAAGTTAATGACGTAAATCAAACATGTGAGCTGCCTGTGCGCGCTTGTTACAATTTTCACCGTTTCACGGACCGATAGGAATGTTTGAATCTCTGAGAAAAAATATCCAGTCGGTTCAAGATGGCATTACTGCAGGGTAAGGATACCTACCTAGTTACTTGACATAATGAAAAGGTTTTTATTCAAATTATTGTCCTAATGGTTGATTCCTAACCTAACTCTGCTGCTGCAGCTGTGCTGATGCTTATGCGTTATGCCTTAGCCTAAGGCTTAGCACAGCTGCTAAGCTAGGCTAGCTAGATTCAGATTCGAGATTGCACTGTTTGATAGATTTTCTTTATTTTGGTCAAGTATGGCCTCTGATCATGACATATTACATGATGTAAGCTTTTGATGTAATTTACCTCAAAAGCTCAAAATTGGTGCTATATAGGCTAATATCCCTTATATATATAACTTGGCAAGTTGACTAGCATAATAAGCTAGGCTAATTGATACTTTCATGTAGTAGTTACTAGTTACCTTGCTTGATTGATCCCAATTCCCAAACAAGAAAATTGTGCAAAGCCAATCTTCTCAAACTGGAATATTGGGCATACTGGCATCGGTCATCTTACATGATGTCACATCTGTATGTGAATGAGAGAAAAAGTCCATTCTTTTGAACAATTTCACCATTTTTGATAGCCCTTCACTAATTTTTTGAAAAAAATTGGCATTTGGCACATTAGCTATATAACATTATTTAAAATAACCCAAGCATTGATCACTACTATCTGCAGTTTCATAGAAATTTTTATACAATATATAATCCAAATTAGCAAATATTAAATCTACAATTTTGGCAGAATTTGTAAAAAAAATTGCATGTATGAAGATAATTTCTAGAGAAATTTTGCAAAATTAGGAAATGCGTGTTTTTATCATTACAGATTGCAGCGGCTATCCAGTGGTGCTCCTACCCCCACTACACCCCCAGATGGAACATTGCCCATATCATTGCATGGAGGTGGAGCTGACCTCCTTACCATGTATCAGAGCCAGTGGGCAACAATGCATCATATGGCTCTACAAAATGCCAAGCTTGCACAGGTTGTCCTATTGTTCATTTATTTAAAACATGTATTTATTTTAGTCAAAAGCTGAAGTTTGTTAAATACCAAGTTTTTTTTCTTATCATGGTAAAAATTTGAAGTGAGATAGTCACTTTTGGCTTTCCATAGTAAATTGAGGCATCTATGTATTTCATAATATGGAGTCTGGCCTGTGGGACCTTTACTAGCTTTCATCTATTCAATGTATGATAGCTAGCAAATGTGTCTAACTGTCTACTGCACTCAAGTGATGAGTGTGACTAACATGATTTACAAAATGCCTGTAGTTAGCAATAATTGGTCATTCAACAGGTTTAAGAAAAAATGAAGATGAACTTTAATTAGCAAAAATACATTTTTTAAAAGTCTTCTTGAGATGCATGCTTCATTTTGTTAAAACCAGAATATAAACAATAATAATATCCAGTAAGTCTAAATCCTTCTGCAAATAGGGAGAAAAAACTTTCAGCTGTTAAGAATTTTTATTGAAGCCAATCATGAATTACAGTGTGTAGCTGATGACATCTCTTGTCTGACTGAGGAATGTGAGACTCAGCACAGTCAGTTGCTTGAGCTACGATCTCTGCTGGCACATCTCCCCAACATCATGGCCCAGCTGCACTCATCACTAACAACAATAGGTATGTAGACATTTCTCCTTCATTATCCTTAATTTCTGTAAAACATTAATATTAAACATATAGGCAACTAAGTGAAAAAACTTTCTTGGTCTGAAATGTCAGTTTGTAGCAAATTTTGAAACTTAACTGCAAGTAAACTGCTGAAACAGTTTTATACCTGAGATAAAGGGCACACCAATGATGTTGACATTGTTTAGTAATGTTGTAATTTGAGTAGTATTGGCTGTTATTGTGTCATTCAGGACATGTGCGCAGTGTGCTAGAGGAAGTTGAAATGGGCCTGGGAGACCTTGAAGCAACCATCGAGGAGTCTGTAATGCAAGAAGAGATTCTTGACATGAAGATGAAAGCAACACTCCTTATTGAATGTCGTCAACACAAACTAAATATGCTTCATAGTGAGTATGTTACTTAACATTTTCTGTGTTTACTTATGCTTTCAATTTTTAAGTTTCATTCAAATAACCAAAATTTCGAGGTGTCATGCAAATTTATGTACCGGTATGTGCATAATTATTACTCTTTCAAGTTCCACCAGTATATACTACATAATCATTACAATTTCAAGTTCAAAAGCATCTGGACGCCAGTTGTTCCTTGAAATTTCAAGAAATTCATTCGTGTCAAGAAAATAAATGACAAGATTATCGCAAACATTGAACATCAACATTCATGAAAATTAGAAGACTTCTGAAAAAAAAAAATATGCTAGTTAATTCTCAATTTTAAATTGTGTAAATGCATCCGGGCCCACTAAGGAAGTTCAGAAAGGAATATTCATTACCGGTATTTGGTTACCAGATACACAAGCACACAGAGATAATTGGTTCCTTGAAAACAGTTATTACGTTATGGAAAATTTTAATACAATTTCACTCACAAACGTTTGAAAGCATTTAATTTTAGAGTTTTGTATGCGCTCAATTTGGTATGCCCTACAAGTGTTCTACATTATTGAATTTGTTTCAGATGAACTAAGTGCGCAACACAGAGAGAAATTAGCTGCTGCTGAACAACGCAGGGAAGAAGACCGCCGCATGAGACTCGAGACTTTTTCTGAGCAGTTCCAGGAAGACCTGAAAAATTACAAGGAAAGTGGCACCGTCGGCGACAGTGAGTGTCTCTTATATATTTCTGACCTCAGTAACTAGTAACGGTGCAAAGACGGTGCCAATTACCCACATGGATCTTATTTGATTAATTTGAACTACCGGTATATGAAATGTCACTCGAGTGCAATAATTAAATTTCCTCGATTATCAAGCTTTAAAATAGGTTTTTGACTGATTTGCATGTGTGGAAACTAGTTACGATGATCAGCATAATGGCTTTACTTATCATGTACCGTATCATTTGCACATGTCATGCCTCAATCTTATAACTACGTAGGTATAAAGCTGTTGTTCGGTGTGTGCAGGGGCTGTAGCTCCTGTATTGACAAAGTTAGAGGACGTGATGGTCGAAGACGACTCCTCGGCCCTTGAAAGCTTCCTGCAAGACGACTCACAGCCATGAAGTTTTGCACCCTGTGTCTAGGATACACACACTTTACAAAATTCATATACACGTTTAATTTGCGTTTCAGACCCTGATACCTCCATACTACTTGGTCTATTGACACTCGCTCACTGAACTGGAAAGAGCGGGCTTTACAGATAATGCCACATGGTTTGATAATGTCATAACTGCAAATTATTAGAACGATATGAATTGATCTAACTTTACAGGTTTAGTGAATTTATAGGCGTAATGCTTATCTACTACATTTCCTCTCTAACAAACTTCGTATTTATTTATTCATGGTGCATGTAAACGTCCAGAATTAGTATGAGTGACGCAGAGTTAAAATGACTTATTCACAGCATAATTCAGATTGCGATCGCTTCATAGAAATAGTGCATTTCTCCATTGGCATTCATATGATTATTACTGTTAGACTAGAGTCTCTAGACTCTAGACGAAACTGATCTGAAGCGCTAGAGACCTCTCCCCTACTACTACTACTACTACTTATCACTTTTATCTTTTGCGGAGAGTCATGGTTCGTTCCTTGTCGTTAAAAATATTCATATTATTCCACAAAATGTTCTACTTTTCTTACATAGCCTTATGTAAGAAACTGCTTCGTCTAGCTAAGGTTTAACTAGTGCTCTGCTTCACCCCGCCACAAGCGAGAAAATTTCGTAAGCCGTCCTTCCACATTAACTATTTAGGATCTTCTGATTACGCTCTCTAAGTCTCTAACTTACATGAGGTAATATATATACTTGTTGGAAAACATAAAAAAAAACTTACGTTTCTGTAATTTGGCGTTGTAATATTCGACTCTTATTTAATGCTTTATAATATTTTATACATCTGTGTAATTCTGTCTGTAAAGGTTTCCTAAACATTTTATGTTAAGGTATTGTCGGTAATTGTACTTGAAATGTCCATTTTCATTGTGTTCACTCGCCTCTCATAACAGGTGTCATTTTTTGCATAACGACATTTTTATTTTTTTAAAGATGCTATGGTTCGTTTTCGTTTTTATGTTTTATATTTCCTATGAATAATCCCGTGTATTATGAAGTGTTCACATGTCTCCTTAGGATGACGAATCTCCTTGAATTGAAATGCAATTTATGATAGAATAATTTTCCTTGCAAGGAAATGTTCTTAAACTCGAATGTAATTTATATGTAAAAATTTGTGGATTTTCAAGGAATTCATTTTTAGCGCATTTTCTCATTTATGGAAAAAATGCACTATTGTGCTCGCCATGTCCGTCTGTCTGTCCGTCCGTGACCTCAAGTTTTCGTCAACGAGAAAATGCGCTCTCTGTCACTCATTGCAGTGAGTACTGAGTTATATTTTTTACTTCTCTGTGAGGGCTGCTATTATAAAGGTATGAATGTTGGGTTATTTTTTGTTATGGTACGTCTAATTAATTCGCGTATTTTGTACCAGATGCAATTAAGTTTATTTCTGCGGCAAATCAGACAAAACGTTTTATTTTTGCCTTATTATCAGCAAGTGGAAACATTCGTCCCAAAATACTTATGGATTTGCCAAATTCTCTCCGTGCTTAAGGTTTGTAACTGTTTATTCAATGCCAAAGACTTTATGTATGAACGACAGTTTCAGTGTGCCAATAATAACCATTCAATCGTTGATGAATTCATGAATTCATAATCCTAGCCTCGCTTCTATTAGACAAAAACATTAATTTATAAGTGCAGCATTTTTTTCCTTTGATAAATCTCAGCATGAGAGAAGATTTGTGTCTTGCCAGCACCGTTGCAGAAGAGCTCATTTTGCGCACTCTGTCTACACTTCACTATTGAGATTCCACACTAATTCGAGCCTATTGAGATCCACCAGTTATAGTAGCCGTGATTCCATACTCTTCAGTTGTCATCACAATTTTCCTCAATAGTTTATCGCTTATACTACACTTATTTAAATCATTGAACATTACGCGAGAAGCAAATGATGAAAATGAGTGGTTACAACCTTCAATTTTTTTGTTTCCAACACTTATTCCGACAGTATCAATTTTGGAGCATTGATTCAATCACAGTATAAGAATCAACCTATCGAATCGAGTGTCGTTACGAGCGTCCGCAACTCTCTAACTGGTATTTTTCTTGATGAAAAAATAATATTCGTTTTGAGAAATGTGACCAACAAATTTTAATCTTGTTTTTACATTTATTTCGAAGTTGATTGAAGTTTTCTAATAAGATCAAAACGTTGAATGCGATATGACCCAATAGGGTTAACAGGTGGCCTGAAAACGCTACAATCCGGTACAAAGTATTTTAGAGTAAAGAAAGTTTGTAGGTTCCAGCGCAAGAATTAACTTTTTTCCTAACGTCTGGTTTCTAAGCAACGGCTAAGTGATCAATATACGACACATATGAAGAGACAATCTTTGACTCTTGAACAAAATCCCGTTGTATTGGCTCGTTCAGCTGACACACGCTTTTAAAAACACTTTGCTTCAGGGCTATAACGCACGACATGCTTCTGTTACTCGCCCAAGTTGTGCGATGACAAACCTATAAACTGAATTTAACTGGTACAATTTTTACCCAACGATTTATTGGCAATGTTTTTTTATTACAAATAATATCTGGACGATAAATTAATATTTCTATCACACCCCCATATTGGTATTCATCACCTTGGACGTTAAATAATGCCTGCCATTTCAGAAAGGCTTATCCATGTTTGAATGAATCGTCAAATGAACCTAAACGAATGAAATCGTCGTCTTTAACCTGAAATCATAGAGAGGAATGGATGAATAAATTCAGAACACCGTCTTAAATAGGCACGTAAATCCCAATGAATAAAACTAGCTCCGTAAATTGCGAGAAGGCGAATCTCGTTTAAGTTTTTATCAAGATGATGCCTATAGCAAAATTCAGTCCGAAACGCCGCTTCTTGCAGTTGGATTCTTACCTAAGTAAATGTGACGAGCCCATTGAGCAGATTGAAGTTAGGGTATTTGTTAAAGTGTTTGCTGAGACTTCGAGAGCAGGCGTCATGTGAGCGCTGGCATAACGGTGGTTTTCTTGAGCTTGAATTTTCCGATCTTGAATTCTGACTGGATGCCAACGATTCTTCCACAGTTCACGACTATTTTAAGTTCTGCACTAAAATGTAATTTAAAAAAAAGTTCTCCCATTTTAGGACTAAATTAGACTTTATGTGATAGCTTCAGGTGTCGACTCATATGCAAGTGTGTTCGCATTTCGATAATTGTCTTTCTTTTTTCTTAAAGATTGCCTATTCTGCGTGGACTGGTTGTGAATTTTGAATGAAATTATATTTCAAAAATCATATCCAATATATCAGTTTATTTTAAGCATCCAGTGTAAAATTAAATATTTATTTAAAGCAAATTTTTTTCATATAGAGCATACTAAAATTTTCATACACACTAAAAAGTGTCTACTTTCATGAGACTAAACCCTAACAACTCTCACCATTTTGACGGCCGGAAAAAAAAACTTACCGAGCCGCGCCAAACAGATAGAAGCTCGAGAAATTTTTCTGATGTTTGGATTTGCATCGATGTACGGTGAACTGAGCGGACGTTGAAGCTGAGAGGAATCTCATCGAGAGCGTGTAGAAACGGACTTAAGAATTTCTTAAGTCACATAGACACGACCTTCAGAGAGTTTAAATCGTATAGCAACGGACTTAAGAATGACTTTGGCAGCATATATAAGGACAATCATGTTATTTAGTTTTGTTTCCAACGGCAAACAGTGGGGCTGCAATAACCTTAAAAATTATAAATGGTCTGTATTAAATTAAGTACAAATTATAGAGCTGTTTCATCTCGGATAAATATACATGGTATTTAAAAATCAATTTCATGAGAAGGGTAACTATTCCATTATTTGAGCTCCAACAACGCACAATCGGAAAGAAGAATCATGCAAGCATGGTTGAACTAATATGTATTAGTTTAACCATGCATGCAAGTTTAACAAGGTTTCCGCTAGATAGCAGCAGTGAGCCTAAGTAAACAGTGATCATCCGCAGCTCTTCCGTTCGACTGAAAATGGCGTCTTGATCATCAAAAGCGAACTGTGTGCTATAATATTTTCAAAGAACGAATGTAAGAACTATTCAGTGTGCTTTTCGTACTAGTTGTTGATCCTCTTGCATTACAATTAAGCGATAGAATGAATACTTTCGAAATGACGTTTGTCAGTGAGAACGCTGATCACCGAGACCTACCGTGTAGGCTACCAGGGTCCGTCTAATCCCCAGGACATCCCACCATGACCTGGTAAGAAAAACTTTTAAATTTTCAATTCGGCGTGAAAATTAGGCTGAAAAACTTGCATTTCTTTATTGGCGTTTGAAATATAGACACGCCGAATCATAAGATTCTTATTGATACACGCTGGAATCTGTATACAATTGTCATCAAATGAAACGGGTCGTTTCCAATCGCAGGTGGGTGAATTGCAGCATGAATTTAATTTTGCTCATTCGATACGGTCCATACGGATAGTTTTCAATTCAGGAATTGTGTGAATTTTGTACAGAGAAGGCATTTGCATTTTCAGATGCATCAAATATTTGCTATCGTCCCCCAAGATATAGGAAGCATTTTATGTGCAGTGCCAGTAGTGTATGCAAGAAGTGCGCGTTTAGTTGCGTTCCCTTTTGATGAGTGAAACTCGGGGCCTTTGCGGGAGTTTTGCCGGCCTCGCGGCTCCAACCATTTATTTATTGCAAGTATCCTTTGATGAACTGCGCACCTGCTGTAACGAACCGAGATTCAGAGCCTTTGACCTCAGGATCTAAATCGTGGGAAAATTTAGCGCTGTTTCCGCGATCCTCAAGTGATCTCTATGCAATATTCTACCGACGGCATCTTCAAGTTGAGGTGAAATTCCCCTTGTGCTATTCGGACATTTTGTTCAAAACTACTGACGTTGTTTTCATAAAGCGTTTTCATCGCCGTAGGGTCTTGAATTTTACTGCAAGTTGTTGCTCTGCATTTGAATTACCGCCAGTGAATCTTCTGGATTCTTACAAAGGCAATATTGGAAGTATATAGGCGTATATTGGAAGACTTCTGGCGTATATTGGAAGACTTTTAGCCAGATAGAAATAGCGATTGTTGCATTTCGATTCTTCCTTTTTAAACCATCAATCAATAGGCTTTGAAATTAATGGTTAATAGCTACTTCAAACTATCGTCAGTCATGAAAAGATCCGGTCAAATGACACGATTTTAGATCTATGAACAAGGCACGAAAAGGAAAATAATCGGCGACAGGCCATATCAGGCCTACGCTTCAGCGCCGAGATCAATACCTATGTTATGTTATGTTTATGCTCACTCTATTAAGGAGTGCAATATAGTTGCGCACGATGGCTTTCAACTCAAGCTTTATATATCACAATTCATTGTGCCGCCCATCACACTGATCAGTTTTTGTATGTGCCAATGAAGACCATTATCTCATTATCTTGCAGCACAACTCCACAACATGTGCCATTAAAGACCATTATCTCATTATCCTGCTGCACAACTCCACAACATGTGCCATTAAATACCATTAGCTTATTATCCTGCTGCACAACTCCACAACATGTGCCATTAAATACCATTAGCTTATTATCCTGCTGCACAACTCCACAACATGTGCCATTAAAGACCATTAGCTCATTATCCTGCTGCACAACTCCACAACATGTGCCATTAAAGACCATTAGCTCATTATCCTGCTGCACAACTCCACAATATGTGCCATTAAAGACCATTAGCTCATTATCCTGCTGCACAAGTCCACTTAAGTTTAGCGTTTTACTCCCAAAAATAACTTATCACTTTTGATCGGGACCTTTTTGGCGGCAGGAGCGAAGCGTTTTTGTTTTCTTCTCAAAGAACTCGGGAAGTTTGGGTACGGAAGAAGTGCTTTAATAATTAGGTTGGCCTGTTTTTTGGTCCGGAGTTTGGATACCCGCTGCAGGAGTTTTGCCTTTGTTATAAGCCTGAACCGTTAGGCAGCCTCTAGGACAGTTGCTAACTCTTTGAGTAATCTGGGGTGGAAGCCGTCTGGTCCACATGACTTGCTTGGATTTAGAGCGATAAGGCGCTTGAGAACCTCTTCTTGTATTTCAAAGCTTGTTAATTTAGAGCCGATTGGCGCTCCTCAATAGCTGGAATACTGTTCAAGTCCTCTTCAGTGAATACGCTACTGAAAA